GATGACTCACTAGGCCTGCAGAATTCTGTGCTGTGGCATGGTTTTCTACTAACGTGATTTTTTCCAGTGAAAGTTAGGTGAGGTCTCATTATTCTTCCACTAATCAAAATGTAATTTCCTATTTTGTTTCTAAGTATTTCCATGATTCATTAAGGTCTTTGAATTCTAGGGTGAAAAGGAAAACTCAGACACAGTGAGAGTTTCCAGCTGCAAGGTCTCCCGTGCTTCAGTACCAGAAACTTGGTGTGGGACTCCTCATAGCGAAAGTGTTGTTTCAGAAGGTCTTACACCAGGCTGTATGGACTAATTATGGCTTGAAATTGTTTTAATCTTGGTGTGGGAAAAAATCTTACCTCACATTGTTAATGTGAGAATCAAAAAATGATTTATTGACTTGAATTTCTTTAATAGTAAATAGGAAAAGAAGAAATTATGTTTTGCTTGGTGTGAGAGTAATGGTTCCCATTATTACCTCTCCTGGGAAAACACTGGATCAGAGTAGCCTATTTCCCGGCAGAATCCTGAAGGTCCTAATGACACACCAAAAGATTTGGGCTACAAGTATATGCCTGGGTGGATGTGATGGTGCACACCTGTAATTCCAGCACCAGGGAGGCCTAGACAAGAGGACCCCAAGTGTGAGCACTGCCTGGTCAACTTAGAAACTTAGGCCCTATTTTGAAATAAAACAAAAATAAAAACACAAGAAAAACAGAAAAACAAAACAAAGAAAAAATAAAAAAATAATGTATGAACAGATACTGGAAAGAATATTTAATTTTATGTTATTCTCTTAATTTAGAATTTGTGTATCAGAGGCAAACATCAGCAGCATCAAGACTGATCTTTTAACTTGCTCCTTGAAGCCTCAGCGGAAACTTCATTAAACACCATTAGTTTTCCAAGCATGTTGTAGACACTGCCATATTTGCATATTGCTTCTCTGTGTGAATGCCTGATTCTCCTGTCCTCATAGGTGCATTAAAAATGTCCATGTGTTCAGCTGGCGGGCACTGAGTTTTTATTAAACTTGACATATTTCTAACAATACAAGGTAGAGGTGTCCTTAACCTGGAGATACCACTATCCACATGGTTGTCAACAGAAACCTAAAAGAGAGAGATTTTCAAATTCTTATAATGGCAGCTTTTGGACCTTAATTATTTGAGTCTGGTTGATTATTTCTCCACTGATGATTTAACAGAAATCAAACTGAAATGGTTCTGACAGATATAGTATTTTTGTGTGTTTTCAGTAAATAGAAATGCACTTGGGCTTGGATTGCACTGTTTTATGAAACAAATTTCCTTGCCTTAAAAGGCCCTTGGATGGAGGTGGAAGGCCTTCGGGGTGCTGAAGGCCCTGTGGATCCAGCCCCTGAGGCCTCTGTTCCCAGAACTGTTAAGTCCTCACCTCCATCCCATCCCCCTCGGCCTCCAGGGGAATCTGGCTTTCCTGTCACTCAGGATAACTGTCCCCTGAGAGCCAGAAAGTCACTAGTCACTGTAATCTCATCAAGACTGTGATTCCCCGCTGGGCCTCCAGCTGTTTATAACCTAAGGAAGCCAAGGAGGGCATCTAATACCCCACCTTGGTGAGCTGAGCCCCCAGACCTTTAGGATAATCCTCTTCCAAAGGGGCCTCATTAGTCAAGTGAATTAGTGAAGATGGGTGCCCAAATTTGCACAGACTTATCAGAAACCAGTAATTTAGCCCAGTTCTTCACCTGAGAAAACTGGCTTCACCCTGCTAGGCATTAGAGACCTCAGGCTGGGCCGAAGTACCTGTCTCCTGACTGCTGGAAATCTGGCGGGAAGTTAGATGCACAATGCTTGCACACACCCCCTAAGACATGAAAGAGTTTGCTATTTTTTAAAACCCTGACAGAAAACTGTTATAGAAGCCTTACTACAAATTTCTGGTGAGTACCTGGATCACTTGTTCCAATGAATGCACTAGTAGTTTCCCTAATTTTTCTCACTTATTTCAGAGGAATTCTCAACTAATCGTTTTTGTTTCCTGACCTCAAAGATCTTAGTATATAGAAAAAATTTAACATTGTGCTCTGCTGCTTTCCTGCTCACCTGTTTGGAAGTGAGTTGCTGATAGGTTCCTATCCAGGGGACGCTCAGTGGCCTTGGTTTCGTGGCTCACAGTGTGCAGGCATATCACCAAATAGTGTCACTGTGACATGGTTTCATGACAGCATAAGAACAGAGAATATCCACTCTTTCCTCAGAATTTGGTATTGTTCAACTGTTTTGTAGCTCTAACAAGTATCGAGAGGAGTATTCATCTTCTTCCTCTCAAAAATGACCTTTGACTTAGGTAGCATTTTATAAGTTTCCGTTTTCAAAGTACCGTATGTAAAACAGTGACCAGGAAAAAAAAGACATAGGAACAATGAAAGATTAGAAAAGATATTAAAACTGTACCCAAGACAGAAAGTCTTTGCCTCCTTTTAAAAATGAGCTCCATATATTTTTTTCTGCTTATCATTATAGACATCTGTTCATCAACATACGAGATTCCATAAGTATGTATTTATGATCCTGTTTCCAGTTGGCACTGAAGAATAAGTTGGCACCCTGTGTCATGCATATACACACAATGTGTATATATATGAATATATATGCACATGTTTATTTTTCATATGTGAATCTGTAACCGTAGATCTGTAATTGCATGGATAGACTTGGATCTAATTTTTCTTGTTGAAAATCACAATGTTTATACAAATGTGCACACTTATATAAAATTTACTCTGAGTTGGCATTAGTCATACAAGTTAGCAGCTGGTGTAAACTTTGAAGCTGTCATTTACTGGATGTGTGTGTATGAAGGATGGGTATTAGGATGGCATGTTTCTTATCAGGATATATCTGTACCACATTGATTATTCAAAAGTTAATTTCAGAAAGTAATAAAAGGTGTTTATCACCAAACAAATCCACTGATGGAGATCCAGATACACATGGTGGGCTGGAAAGGAGAAATTGGATTAAATTACATGGATGAGGAGAAAAATATTAATAAAATCAGTGCTACTTTTATGAGAATGGCAGACCTTGTGTTTTGAGAAGACACTTCACAAGTGAATTTTCTGTCTACACACAAGCTTGGTTTAGGTTAATTATAGCATATTCATTTGCTCGTGGGGCAGTTGCTTTGAAATTTATTGTTGGCTGTGAGGATAGTTTTTTAAAAAAATTTGTAAGTGTAATAGTGAAAAACAGATTATTCCAAACTGATTATTTTATTGACCTAAAGTTGTAATTGACATCTTAGTCAATACTAGTACTTTTATTTTTATATGACATTTTTACAGTAGGAGAATACCAAGCAAATAATTCATGTTTGAGATAGTAAATAAAAGCAGCCCCGAATGTTAGAGCTTTACAGTAGAGTAATTCATGTGTTTCCCAAAATATGAAATTGAAATGCTGCTAAAAAGGTGTATTTACAAGTGCATGAATGTGTTAAATATATTCCTATCTTTTGTGTACATATTCAGTATTTAGCAACATTGATTTAATGGATCAATTTTATACTCATTCACTTATTTGCAGTACTAGGGTTTGACTACAGGGCCTTTGCACTAAGCTAGGACCTCAGCCCTTTTTAATGATTTTTATTTTGGGACACACCTCACTAAGTCAATAAGTTGTGCAGACTAGGCTAAAATTTTCGATCCTCCTGCCTCAGTCTCTCAAAGTACTAAGATTACAGACATGTGCCATCATGCCCAACACTCATATTTAGCAACCATCTTAAAATCTATGTGAATTTGTTGGATTGTCTAAGAAACAAAATCGACTTTAATTTCCCTCTTTAGGAAAATACACTCTTAGTTTGTGGTTTCTTGTATACCTTCACTAATCCCATGATTATTTTATGTACAGTGTTAGAACACATGCAATGGAACAGGAAGAGCCATTTTAAAGAATATGGTACAGGGGATTATTGGAATATTAATGAAAATGAAAAATCTGAAGCTTAACTTCCATTACCTAACAAAATGCAACTTCAAAGTAGAGATACACTTGTTATTACAAGGATTGCTTGATGCTGTCCTCCTTTGGAAAATCACTTACAGTATTTTTACGCTAAAGAAGTTATATCCTACTGAGTATCATTGGTTAATATCAGTTTGTTTTATGAGAATCTAGGCTCATTTTAAAATAGCCATATGTTTTATCAGTATTATCCCCATTCGATTATTGGAAGATGTTTAACATTGCAGTAATTGGTAAGTGATTCAGGGAGTATTGATGTGATATTTATTGTTATTCTGCCGTGAACGGAATTCTTCCAAGTAAAGAAATCACTTCACTGAATAGCTTTCATTGGCATTGATATTTTATACTTAAAAACAGTGGCCAAATGTGAGCTTAGCTTTTCGATCACATATTTGTTTAGTGGGCAGAGTACTTCAAGTAGCCACTTTAACTGAGATACTTCTCACATTAAAGAGGACCTGCACAACTGGTTACATATTTGAAACAGAGAAACAAAAATAACTGAAGGTCTATCATAAAAGGGATTAAGGTAGAGAGTGAACTTGTGAAAGTGAGTCCTTTCCTGGTGAAGGATGCAGTCATGCTGTCTCCAGGTGTGTAACCCTGGCACCAAGCAACTCACCCCAAGTGACCCAGACACCTGGCCAGTGGTCATGGACTTACCTACGTGTGCTGGTCAGTTTTTCCTCTGTTGACTGGAAGCTGAAACCCTGCCTCAATTCTGATCGGTATATTATGGGCTGTATTTCCTTTATTTTGAGGTCAATGTGTCTTAATAACTGTATTCAAATAAGATTAACTACAACATTCTGATTTTCATAATGGTTTAAGATGGAGCATTTTTTTCATTAGATGTTGAAACATACAAGTCATGTTGTATATTGCTGACTAAATCTATTGCTGAAATAGAAAGGAAAAAAATCTTATTTTATACTGGCATAGAAGGAAGGCTTAACTTGTTTTCTTGCTCTTTTTTTATAGAGAACACCTGTTCCCAGCGCTGAAGCATTCCGATGGTTCTTTTAAAGCAGTAGTAGATCTTATTTTCAAGGCATTTGGAAATGAAGGGCAAACTAATGTCTTGTTTTAAGAAACTGCTTAGTCCACCATTGAAGAAAATATCCAGAAATTATTTTCATTTTATGTATAGGGGTTTCTTCAAAAAAATGGAAAAGAAAAGAAAAAAGACAAAAATAGTGTGGGAGCTTGGGGAATCGGCCAGTCTATTTGCTTTCAGTACACTGATTCTTTGATGTAATTTAGCTATTCTAGTGAAGTTGTTGTCTATTTTGAAAGTGGCTGTAAAAAAAAAAAAAAGTTTGGATAAACCCCTGCTGTAAAATCATGTATCTTTGCAAAGTACATATCTATACTTCATTTTCAAATATATGTGTTTCAGTACTGTAAACTGTACAGATAGCAGCTTGTATTTTGTGTGTTTAGACACAAGGAGACAATCACGTCTGAGCATCTATGGAGATTAACAGTTTGTACACAACGGTATGGTTCTTCGAGTCAAATCTGGAGCAATAAATTTTAGCTTTAAATATTTTTTGCCAGTTGTTTCTAGAAGCAGCAGCAACTGCACAGGCGCCATTTGGCTATGCATCTTTCCGTGGAGACTTGATGTCAAGTTTTACAAGACGAAAAGATAATGATGTGTCCGGCAGTTACCTCCAGTTCTGTGGTTCTAAGAGGGGAAGATGTTATCAAAGTTTCACTTAACACTTTGAGCACTATATTAGAGTAGTGTTTATGCACTTGCATTGCTTATGAATGAGCTGTACAGAAGGGTATGATACTTAGTGTAGTTGATTTGTCTTGGGTTCCACTGTAAGGCGGGGTACTCAGAGTAGTTGGAAAATGCAGAATCAGTTGTATAATTTTTTTTAATGAAAACAAAAACCGTGTTTTCTAGGCTAAAAAAATAAAGTTATCAGATCTTAGGGAAAGAAATTCATTACTCACTTTTTTTTTTCCCAGCCAACCATGGCCTGTGTGCGTTTTTGTTTCTTTGTTGTTGATTTGGGGGGAGGGGAGGAAAAACTTTTTAAACAGAGTATCCAAATGTTTTAATTCTATGTATGCTATTAAATGGGTAGTTTTAATACTTGAATACATTGAGGCCTGTCTTTAGACAGGGCTGGGTATATTTTTAAGTTAAAAATTAAACATGTTCATCCAAGTGAGGCATTTGTCTCTTTGTATCCTCCTTCCTCCTGACCTCCCAGCTGGACACTGGTCTTCGCCTGGAATGTTCCACGGCTCCCAGTCCTATGCTTCCCACTCAGTGCTTTTGTGTCAAAGAAGACAGAACCCGACCTGCAGTTTCATAAGCGCACAACGGCTTCTTTCTCACCCACCTAGGCCACCTCATATAGTAGGCTTTGGTTTTCTTAGGACAGGAAACCTCGGGCCGTTCCATTAGGACAGATACTACGTTAATTTAATGTTATTTTATATTTTGGCTAGGCTATGGCACTAGTTTTCAGTTTCTGGAATAAAGCACAGTTTAGTGAAAACACGTTGACCACCAGTTCTGCACCTCCCGAGTTCTTGCCAGTAGCTGGAGGCTGCTGCACCCATGAACCTGTCAAAATTGGTCAGCACGCTGGGTCTGGAGAAGAATCACAGCTTGTGACAGAGGGGGAGGGCAGTCAAACACTTCAAATATAAAAGTCTGAAATGCCCAGCAGGCAGTAGTTTTTAAAAGATCACTGTTGTTTTGAATGGGAAATGATACAGCAGAAAAGGTTTTTAAAAGGCAGAAGTAGCGCGTCATCATTGGAGTCCTGGGGGAAGGACGTTGAGGTGCATGCAAAAGCCAGTGTGCAAGACAAGTGTGACTTGCCTGCTTGTGCACCGGGCCACAGTCTGCTGTGATGGTCCAACAGTCTTTCTGGGGAATATTCATCATCTATCACACACACCTGTGTTTAGAGAAGGGAATGAAATCACCACAGGCTCAAAGGTACTGCACATTAAGTTCCAAATTGTTTTCTACTTGGTGTTTATGTACTTGAGTATTTCTGGTTAAAATTTCTCTTTCTGCTGTGGGACCAAGAGAGCTACTTGTGTTCTTTCTTGTTCTCTTTTCCTTTATTTTACACTGTTTGTGTTTGCCAATTTGCTAACTAGTTACAAGTGAAAACTTACTTTCACACTTGAATAGGAAAGGTGTCTTGCTTTCTGTAAAATGATGATTATTATAGAAATACAACACACTTCTACTCAGACCCCGGGAGACCTACAGTATCATAGAAATCACGTAGCCGTGGACTGACTGTCTGAAATGCATTCTGGGGCTGCATGTGTTGATGTGTTTTGTTTGCTTTTTAAAGGTACTAATGAACCTGTATATTGTAAAATGTGGAGCTTTACCTGTCAATCCTTTTTTTAAATGAAAGAAATCCTGTTGATCACTGAAGTGGAATGGTGTAGCTTTTAAAAGATTCCCCTATGTTTTTATTCTTGATATTGTTCTTTTATACCACCACTTTTTATGTTTTTGGTTAAACTCTATGTAATGTAGAGTATACACATAAAGTTCTCACTGCAATGTTTACAAAGATGCTACTCTTCTGGACTCTCTTGTTTTCTTTCCCATGTGCCCAGGCATTTAGGCTAAGGGTTTGAAAGGTGACACGTTTCACCATTTTGAAACAACAACGGAATGTAACTTTGAAAATTTTCTGTATGTTTCACATTCAATGTCAAGAGAAGTCTGAATATAACGATGAGAATATAGATTGTGTGGCTGTCTGTACACCTTAACCATCCCATAGCAGAAAAACTGAAAAACATGGCAAGAGCGGTCCACATCCACAGGGCCTTGTCTTCTTGAGGAAATGCTCTACCAGCGGTATGTGGGAAAACCGTGGAGAATCCTTGGGTTGTTGGTATAGAGTGTAACGGGGACATGTCACTTGCAGCTGCCACCTAGAGCACTACATTGAAGAATATCATAAGTAAATAGGTCTCTTTCCAAGCCTTCAGGCCAAAATGACTTTCTCATGGGTCCTACCTGTCTGTGCAGATACAGAGGCACGTCTACAAAGCACTATGGTATCCACTCTTAGGTCAGGAAATAGGAGCAATCTCCTCTAGCATAAGCAAAAGAAAAATGTCTCGTCTTGCTAATTCCCAACACTCAACTTCCTCTAACCACTTAACAGAGAGCAAGAGATGATGGGCTTACTGTGAATTAATATTAAGTAATCATTTAAAGAAAGAAATAGTTCTTTCCTTTGGTTCAGAACCCCTGGCATGTAAGTTGTGCAATTAATGCAAAAGCATATAAAGTCTTTAAACTGATAGCGTCTGTAATTAAATAATGAAGAAAGGAAAGCGGTTAAATGAACACACCATTCAGGGTCAAATATGTTCAGCGGAAAGCTGTGGCGGGCCTTTGATCTGGGCTAAATTCACAGTGATATCAAACAGTTGGTTTCCATGTAACAGCTAAATGTTTCGGATATTGTTTTTATTAAATTTGGCATTTCATACTGAGATCTGTATTCCTAGTGAATAAAAAACAGCTACTGTGTTGAGAAAGATTCCGCTTTCACAATCTCAAAATAGAGATATTTCAGGAATGCAGGCCACAAAATGTACTGCTTTCACAGTGTTTCCTATTCTGAGCTGTGCAGTTATCTATTAAATTTTCTAATAGAAATTTGTGTACCGTGTATGTATGCTTGTGCAATTATTTAAAAAGCCGTTTTGGAAAACAGTGTATTTATTAAAGAAAATCACTTATGGGGCATGTACAAAACTGTAAAAAAAAAAAAAAAAATTTACAGATCACTTCAATTTGCCCAGTAAAGTTGTTTTTGTGAAATTTCTGTGTTGTTGAATAAAGAATTTTAGTATTCAAAATATCTCTATTTTTCCATGTAGAAACATTTATTTGTGGGATTTTAAGGAGTGGACATATGATCCTGAAAAATCTAATGTTTTTTGATCAAAAGAGTTTATAATTCTCCACTTCCCCTTCCGTCCATGGAATGAATGCTGTGTATAAACCTTTCGTAAATATGCCAGTGGTGTTCATTTTTCTCGTATAAAGAAAGGAGAAAAGGAGAGCGTGATCATGGTGCGCTTCCCTAGGATACGTTTTTGCTGGAAACTTCAAGGGTGTGCTGAGCTGAGGAAGAACTGAGTGCCCGCCAGCCTTGGTCCTCCCTGTTCCGTCTGGAGCCTGTCGGCACAGAAGACCGCAGGCACCTGTGTGCCACGTGCGAGAGAGCTGCTGATACTTGAGGACATTCCTGCTTGTGAAAGAATGTGCGACTCTGGGATTCTGCTGCAGCCACTTCCTGCACCCCTCTGACCTGAGATTTTTATGGTGTTACTTTTTCAATTATGGAACGTTGTGGTCCACTGCTCCTGTTTATTAGTTGGTGGTGAGTGTGTTTAATCTTTACTTCACTACTTTTCACTACAGAGGTCTAATTTTTTGATGCCTTATGAACTACAAACTACGTAGAACATGATTTTTAAAATTTGGAAATTCTTGCTATGGTTACAAACATGGGACTTCACAGAACTGAAAGTTCATGTCTGTGGGATATAGCACCATATTCAAGTTTTATAAATGTATTACATATTGCCACGTGGCCTTGTTAGAATAATACTGCAGACACAAGGTACTCAGGTCAGGCAACGGAACTGGATTGTACAGACTGAAAAAGAAGATGGTGGTAACTTCAGTTATCGAGCTATCAAATAGCAGTTGCTCAGGTAAGTCACTATGTTTCTTTATATTTTGGTATAAGCAATACCAGTATGCTAAATAAAATTTGATTTTTATAAAGAGTGCTTTCTTAAAATTGACAATGCTACAGATATCTGGAGGTTTGTATGTAATTACAGGAGGCTAATCCTTCAACAGTATCTGAAGAAACCAAACACTTGTGGAGAAGAAAGGGAACGTGTATAATTTATTTAGACACTGAGCCAGATATTTCATATGGTCTATAAATAAGTACCTTAGGTTTTCTTTCAAATTAGTTTATTGGTAATAGTTTTCATTTCTGTGTTTTATGCAGAAATAACTATTTCCCTCTTTTCTCATTCATATCTTTCTTTTTATGGAGAAAAATACAATTTGAAGTAAACACAAGGAATACAAATTTAAGACTATATTTGACTAAACTACATAAGCACAGTTACATGAAACATTTTAAACTTCTTTGTTAGAAAATTGTGTTTCTGTTTCTTTATTCTCATATTTTGGTTTGAGATCTATAATGATGTCCTTGTGAGACAATGTTTATTTATTTCATTGTATATAAAATGATCTATCAACCAAATTATCTTTTTAGTCAATCCTTGCTTTCCTTGCATTCTGTTAATTATTGCAACATCATTGTTTACAGGTAATGAAGTTTTACCGAGTGGAAGCAGTGTTCATACCTCTCTCAAAAACACTACTTTTAAAGCTACTCTTATGTCTAAACTGTGTAAAGCATTTTTAGAACATAGCTGAATTTTATGACTTCTTTAGTTGTTAGACGGTAGAAGATTCTGTAGGTTTTATTTGAATTATTATCTTCTGTTTACAGTTTTTGTGAAAAGGAATCTATTTAAATTATATGGCTTCAGGAAAACTGCATTGTTGGGATGAAGATTAGAAAGCAAAAATATTTAAATTGAGCTATTTGACCTTTGATGTGACTATAAAGCATAAGTAGCTGAAAAAGCATAATGAACATGTCGCTGTCTCTTTTCAGGACTTTTCTATGAACTGATTTAAATTTTTATAACATTGTTACATCAGTGTATATGTGTATGTTTTTGCCTATGTATATGTGTTTCTATATATATCAATGTGTGTGTATACAAGTATGTACAGGAACAGATTGTACTGTACAGTAGCTGAGAATCAGTATAGGTTATTAGAAATCTTTAGTGGCCAGAATTCTTTCATTATTGTATAGTTGTTTTGGAATTTGATGATTCAGCATCTCCGGGATTGAGAGATTTGAGGATTGTTTCTTAGATTATTTTGGATATTTGAAGTGCTCTTTGATTAGTGAGTTCCTACTTGAATTTACTGTATCATATTTTTGGTTAATGAACTGTATTGAGAATTATATGTACTCTGTGCCCCCCACTTGCATCATTTGCCTTCACATAATTGAATATTTTATATACCTTTGAGCTGTTTATATATCTGAAGTTTAAATCTATATCCAAGTCATAATAGATAACTTGATCAGTTGCTTATGCACTTTGACTGTATGGAAAAGGCCTTCATCTCAGCTCTCTGGTGTATACAGAACAGCAGTAAGAAGAACACTGTCAACATTTTGTTCACCAGCAGCTCTTAATTTATCATTTATTCAACAAGCATTTGTGTACATCTCTAAGTGGTAGCAACAGTGGACATCAAGATGGACATAGCATGGTTTCTGACACCTTTATCATCACCCTGGAACTTAACTGCATGGCTGAAATAAACTTCCAAATTGATGAAAGCCCTGGACAATCTGCCATGTGCAGGAAGAATGGCTGGTGATCTCTTTCATTTCAGATCCTTCCCAGCTGGGAGAAGAGAGCTAGACTTGACAACTACTGAGGTGAGACATGGAAGGATAGAAAAGGTCTCTGGACGCTATTACTCACGGGGACACTGCAGTATTCTATCCCTATTCATTGTCTCTCTTTAACCCTTGTCCTGCCTCAGTCTGAATAGTTCTAAAGCACATAAAACACACATACAAACGCTCCACCCCACAGAGATACACATAGAGTTCATGCAACTTCATCATGAATGGCTTTCTATCTCTCTCAGAATGAATCCCCAGCTGTGAGCTATGAACTCTACTGGTCCTGTGCAGTCTCAGGGGCCTCCTCTCTCCTTTCTCTCTTTAAGCTCTAATCTCTTAGGCTCTTTTCCATTTCAGACCTTCTCCCAGTTCTTACACTTGTAAGATGGGTTTTCCCATTCAACTCATCATGCTAATCATGTGTTAACACTTGGAATTTTCTTCTCTTCTAGAGACCTCTTGTTCTTCGGTACTTGGCTAAGGATTCACTTTTAGCCATCCCTTTCTAGCTTTTGTGACTAGGTCAAATTGATGTACTATAAGCTCTCAAAACCCTTCATACCTTTTCATACCAATTATTAATAAATTATATCATTAGATAAACATCTAATAGCTAGTGTTCTTTCATCTAGGTAGTTAGAATGTATCTCTGCCCTCACAGTTCACATTCTAGTAGGACAAATTTTATTAACAAAGAAGTAGACATGCATGGTACCAAACATGCCATATGGCAAGACTGTAAAAGTACGAAGACAGTTTAGGGTGGGCTTGGAGATAACGCCTGTGAGTGGGGGAAGGTAAGGGAGAGAACTGGGATTTAAAATAAATAGTTTAGGAAAACCCGAGAAGGTAGTGCTGGCGCTTAGACCTGAAGGAGAGGCGAGCTGAAGCCCTGTGTGTGTCCTGAAGAGGGCAAAGGTAATGGAGAATTAAAACTCTTGTAATGGGAATTAGCTTGAAGTTTTTAAGAGCCAGCAAGATTGCAGCTGTGCCTGGAACGTAGTAGGAGAGAATAATACAAGTGCAGTTGGAGAAGACAGGATTGCGTGATGTTGGACAGGGACTCTGAGTTTTACTTAGAATCTTGGAGGGAAAACTTGATTCAGTGTATTATTAGACAGCGTCTTTGCCTACCAAGTTCAGAATGGAGAATGGCAGAAAGGCGTCCAGCGTGGGAAGGCCACCGCCTTCGTTGAAGCTGGCAGTGTGAGACTGAGCCCAACACAGTTATGAGATAAAGGCACTTGGACCTGTGGACCTTGTGGGCTGTTAAACATGGAAGAAAGATAAGAATGCATAATGACTGTGGGGGTTTTTAATATGAGTAATTAGAAAGATGAAGTTGCCACTTGCCCAGACAGGGAAGACTAGACTTTGTTTCTGCACCCACTAACCTGCTTCTCAGACAGTTAGGGAAGGATGTCCTTTGTTCAGTTGGATTTTGGGCTTGGTGGTCACGGTAGATTTATGGCTGGGGGATGGTGAGAAATGAGTCTGGTGTGATTAGGAAAGACTGAAGTATGGAAAGACATGGGAGAGGAAGGCGAGTGCTGAGGGCTGGGACTCAGTCTGATTGTCCTGCCTTTGTCTTCATCCCAATCTGTTTATTGATCAATGGAGAGAACACGTGGAAACACACGGGAAGTTCGAGACTGAATTCTTCCAATTCTCGCTCTCCTCAGCGACCATACTATTTTGGTTGTTTGTTATTCCGGTCTTGATCCTGCATACACAGGTAACTGACTCTTCCTCTCTGTTAATTTGTCTTCTCTCCACTGCATGCGAAAGTTTACATTATATTTATCGGCATTGTAATGCAAAAATTACATATCATAATCCTTTCTCCAGATCTGTATATACATTGAGTTAAAAATTTAATGCTGGTCACAACTAGTGTATTAAAATTTAAGCACAGTTTTTTTGATCTTCACTGAACCTATCTTTCTGTTCTTGTGTCGTCTGTTGGTAATCCCTTAAGGCCATATCATTACTGCTTATTTTGAATCTGGGGGGGGGGCTGGAGCAGAAATTAGGTAAATGTTGAAAACTGAAATTAATCTTCAGTTGACTCTTAGCTCCAAGAAAGTGACAGGATTTTCAGATTTGCCTGAATTATTTTTCACAAGAGAAAAAATTGACTCAGACCTATAAAACATTAGAATGTAAACTTTTCACTGATGATCATTCTTATTCCTTTATTTTTCATTCTTTTCAGAGTCTAGCAGAAACATCTTGACTAAGAGCCGAAATGTGTTCCAGGGAATACGAACATGAAAGACGTGCTTTTTGTATTTCGTCCTCATAGCCGAGCATTTTATATTAGTTTCCTTAGACTTTTCTCAGCTTCCAGCCTACCATCTGACCCTCTGCATACCTTGAGATCTCAATTGAAATCTTGCTACTAGAGTCATGAGGACTAAAGATAACAAATTGCAAAGAACCGAGTAGTAGTGACTTTAGTCCATGAAAATCCCCAAAACTTCAACATATCCAAAGCAAGGAAACTAGCAATGACTACCACAAACATTGAAATGCTTAATTTCATTATTTTGTAGGAAATGCTGAGAACCTTTTGCAAATGTCAAGAATAACCATGGATTAGAAAGAATTTTCCAAAGAGCTACAGTCATATTTACATTAGGAGCTCAGGTAACATGGCCATTTTGGACACTATGGAATTTGTGAGTCTCATCAACAGATCCCATCAGAGAAAGTCAATATTTAAATGTCAGCAGCAGTGTGTCAGTTGCATCAGGTAAGGATTAATGCATAACCAGAATTATTATTATTTATTTGTCTTTTTCCTTTTTATCGGTACCGGGGATCGAACTCACGGCTGCCTGCTTGCAAGGCAGGCGCTTATACCGCTGAGCTAAACCTGGAGCCCCCACAATTATTTAATGTATTATCACACTGATAGAACTTGGGGCCGAAGGAGATGTAGTAATTTCCCGTTTATGAAGTATCAGAGACTGAGTTCTTAAACTGGCTACTTCGGAGGAAGCTGGCAAACAATTTAAAGATGTGATCTGCTGCCTGGCTGATGCTATTCTTTTCCTTGCTGAGCCTTTTTGCTGGGTTGTTTGCGTTGCCTGGGCAGATTTGCTGTTTCTGTTCTAACTGCAGTGCGTGCGGCATGGAGAATGCTGATTAATTCTTGGCGGCAACCGTCACACACACTACCAGTGTCGTACGTTTATACCCTCCAACTCATCCTCTGTGACTGCATTCCGTAAGTCACCAGTCCTGGGAATAGCACGGAATACACAAATAAACCTGCCCTTGATTTAGATGAAAAGTAACTGTTGATCCTCGACTGCCTTGAAAACACAGAAGTTACGTTAGATTGGGGGATCTTTTATCGTCTTCGTCTGCTTCAAGTAGCTCTAGTGGGCCTTCTTTAATGGACCCTACAGCTGCCATCCATGGAGAACTCAAAATATCAATTATAACTGGAAGATGAACTTACAGTTTGCCCATGGTGTGAAGTCAGCGGATCTTCATAAACCTCAGCCATTGTGCCCGTGCAGCAGTACTGCTCCAGAAATGGTGCTGGAGTGTTTCTTGAGCAGTCATTTTTGATAATTTTGATATCTATATTGTATGGTAGGTGACTCATCCTATTACATTAAAAAAGAGGTAACAAATGTTATGTAGGGAGCCCTGTTTACTGTATTGTTCCCTGATTTGTTCAGAGAATAAATATTTTTATTAGTCCATGTTTGCAGCACATAATGTCTACGTTCCTTGTGTGGATGGGGGCCTGTGCGTACACATCTTCTCCCCATCTCTCATCCCCTTCCCTCCGCCATCTTCCCTCCCCTTTCCTTTGAGGAAGATTTATTTTTCTGTTTCCTATTACCTTTCTTTATTTTGTTCTTTATTTATAGTTTGGGTTACCACTGTGGAAACCAGTATGGACAGTCCTCAAAAAACTGGATATTCCGCCTGACCCAGCCTTTCCTTCTAGGTGTTTTCCTGGCAAAGCTAATGACATCCTCTTGCAGTGATCCACGCATACCCACGTTTATAGCAGCATGATTCATAATAGCTAACGCTTGGAAATAGCCTACATGTCCATCAGTGCAGTAAGTTTTTAAGTGACAGGCTGTAGTTTGTAAAGGCACTTTATTAGGACCTCTGCAGTATTCCAAGAGAAGAGAAGGGCATCATTGCTTATCTTGTGGCATAAAGTCAAGTTACAGTTTGCAGCAGAGTATGCAGTGAGAAAATTAGAACAAGAACTGATGATATTAAGATGAATTTATCTTTATTTTCCTGACTTCATTCCTAAATTTACCAAACCTTTCTTGGGTTCCTAAATGTGACTAGCAAATCATATGATTAGATTCATAATAATCAACCCTTTTGCTTTCTGAATGAGTAAATGGTATCTAAGAAAACAATGGTAATAAAATATTCTTTCATAGGGAGGTAGAAATTACACCTCACAGAGGACTAAAACACAACAGCAGAGCTTTATTACTGCAGATTCCTGGGGCTCAGGAGAGGCTTCGGCAAGGACCGTGATACCTTCTCATCATGGCCCTTTCATCACTGCCCCGGTAGGTGCGGTCACTACCGTTCTCCCTGTTGGCTTGACTGAGCCCTTACCGCTTATGTTGTGTCCTCCGACATTTTTAATGTTTATTTTCCATTGCTAAAGACTCCTGAACAGGGAGATTTTTTATTTACTGAAAAATTGAGCACAAACACCCTACCACTGATATTTGGGGGTATAGCTGGGTGTCCAACATCTAAATAGGTGGAAGGAGGATGGCCCAAGGTCTGTCCAGTCAGCCCAGCCCTACTGGAATAACGGTAGGAATCTTTTCGCTGAGGGTCTTGAGAGTGAACTAAGTTTTTCAGTGAAAATCAGGATGTGATTGTCAGAAACAAATGGAACCAACAGCAGGAAAAAAAAATGAGAAAAATGAATGAAAAGCTAGCAGTGGGGAAAGAGAAGAAAAAAAGAGAAAGTAAGGAAAGACAGAAGAGAGGAAGAAAGGACAGAAGAGGCCAGAGAGAGAACAGGGAGTCACTCCAGCAGCACCTTTCCTGAAGGGTTAACTGAGGAGGAGGCAGCAAGGCGGGGAGCAGAGAAACAGATTTGCACTGGAATTCTAATAGGATCATTAATTTCAGTATAATTGTGAGATAACTATTTGATTAACTTGGAAGAGCTATTTTATTAATTAGCCGTGTATATGCAGAAACACACACAACACATAGACATATACAAAGCCTGCATACCTACGACTGGACCCACACGACTTCTGAGATGAAGAAGATTTATGGCGAGTCTGATAGATTTACCAGCAGAATATTTGTGTGCAAATCTCAATTGTGCATAAAATAAATGGTAGGCTTAAATAGGAAAGAAGTCTTTTATTTTTTAAAGAAGAGGACCAAGAGAAGAAGACAAAATTTCATGATATAAACTAGATGTAGGCCACTAATTTACCGCAAATTTTTTGCAGATTCTTTCATTGTACGTGGTGCCTTGTGATTTGGCTTACATTTCACTTGATACAATCCAATGAATATGATCGCAGCTCGAGGTTCGCTGTCTCTGAACCCCTAATGCTTTTTGTCTTGAAGTCATATTACTAGATGCATATGTGAGAATTCTTATTTATTATTTCCAAAACAAGTCATTTCCCCCATTTTATGTTATTTTTATCAAGTAATAAAGGCACATGTAATAACTACTTAAATTGTTATACCAATATCACTATAAAGACAAAAATTGGAAAATTTCAAGAAAGTAAACCATGGTGGCTGGTTGTGCCACTGAGTTTAATGTTTGTTCTTTGTTGAAAAAGTCAGAATCTAAACCCTATGGAAAGGACTTGTAGTTTCCTCTTAGGGATACAGAGCGGTAAATGAGTGTCATTGTCATCTACCCTGAATAGAATCCCGATCACCAGTTTGTGTCTTTTCTCCAGGCAAGCAAAGATGCTGCATGACAACTAACCCCCAAACTAAGCAGAGGCTCCTGGAACCCCAACTTAGGAAGGCAAGATGTACCTGAACCTGGGCTCTGACCGAGAAGGTGGCCAGCATGTAACTCCTGATGGATGATCTCTGCAGAAAAAACTGTGAGGAAAGGTCATACATAAATGTCAGAAATAAAACACACAGTGACATTAAACACGACTTCCATGGGCTCCGCAGATCTGACATAGGTGGGGAAAGAAGAATGCACAAGTCTGATGGGTCAGCTTTTCTGCTGCTGGGACAAACACTTGGCACCGCAGCTCATAGGAAGAGGTTACTTTGGCTCATGGTTTCAAAAGGTTCAGTCTATGGTCAGTGGGCCACAAGGCAGGAAGCCTGCAGTGACTTTCATTTCACAGCAGAGGCAGTGCCCAGGGACTGAGTGCCAGTGAGAGGTGGACCCTGAAAGCACAGTCCAGTGTCCAGAGAACACTCAGCTCTGTATAGCGGTGGATTAAGCCATCAATGCCTTCAGTTCCCTATGGTCCACTCTACTCCTGAAGGGTCTCTAAATCCAGTCAAATTGACAATTCTGGTACAATGGGGATAGGTCTATAGAAATGACCCAAAAATGAAACGAGGGAAAAAAGCAAATCCAGTGTACAAAAGTGCTTTAAGGTATATAAATGAGTGCAGCATATTCATGTATGTATGATGGAAAACCACCTTCCGATATTTGGTTGACTTGGTACTTACCTAGGAGGCAAATGTCAGAAGCTCTTCAGAAAATACAGACACTGATTGTGTTAGCAGTTCCAGGACCATTCAGTCACACATAGTTCAATAACTTCATTGTCAACTTCCTCTGAGCCATGAAGAAGCTAGGGGTGTGTGACCCCCTGTTCCCTTGCAGTACAAATCAACCCCCAGCTAGGAAAGGTTTGACAGAGACAGATGGGGGTCCGCTGGATTGGTTAGGATCATTTCTTTGTCTTTCTCCCCTTCTCAACGGATTAACTCAACATTACCCTCATTAAACACAAATGACAAAACTTTACCCTAACCTGGCTGGCTGGATAATAAGGATGCCTTGGTCTGTGTATGACATGGCTGGGTGTGTGTGCAGGCCAGGGGCTCACGTAGCTTCTCCTCTGTCCTCCTAGATCTGACTGTGGTCAGTTTGATTTTCAGGCAGGTTCTCTCTTGGTGGCATCGCAGTCCCCTTCATTCCCTGTCACATCATATTCCATTGTGGCAACTCAGCAGAAAGCCTTGAACCTATCCCTGAAACACCGACCTAAGGAAGTGAAATGAATGGTTGTATTAATGGGGGCAGTGGAAAGGCGTAAATTCACCTCCTCCATCAAGGCTGGGGGTGTGCAAACAGCCCCATGAATGGACAGCTGGGTCGGGGGGTTACCAGTACTGAAAGGGCAGCCGCCGAGAGCTGCTAGTGGGAGTGGAAGCTCACAAGGCTGTTGCGTTTAAATCTCAGAAGCAGGGAAGGAGGCGGGAAAGCGTGCACAGCGTGAGGGACCTGTGTCTTGTCAGCCTGGCAGCTCTCTCGCCTCATGGGTGTTGGGATCTCCATTCATTGTCCAGTGTGCAGAGTATCAACAGGAAAAATGTTTTAGTAACTAAAAGTGTATTTACTTCAATGAAGATAAGACACACTTGGCTCTTATGTACATAGAAATACTGTTTTCTTCTCTGTGTGTCCAATGTAGAATAGAAAAAAAGAACCATAAAATTTTAGATGGTTTGTCCTTTTTTTAATTTTAAAAAGGCAAAACAGGGAAAAAAGGATAGAAATGATACAGAATTTCAAAAAAGAAGAAGTAGGGAATTAACATGAGTTAATATATTGCACATTGTTATCTCAGAACTAGTTGTTCAGGTTACAAAATCTAGATATAAAAGTGATCAGTCAAACAATGACAGCATGAACTGTTCTTTCTGATGCGCTAAGAGAGATTAGCAGTACAGTTACCTATCTAGCATACATATACATACATTTATGTATGTTTACCAACGTACATATAATCTTTTCCTTTCTTATATTAAAGTGGACATATAAATAGATGTAAACATGTATGTATAAAAATGAAACCCCTGAAACAGGGAATGTTAAAGAACTATTTGTAAAATCATAAATTAAGATTCTCTTTAAAGCTGAATAGCAAGAGATAAGTTTTGGTATTAAAATAGATGGAGTTTTATGACAGATATTAATATGGAATGTTTGATCTAAGAAAGCGCTGTGGTGCCAATCAGATCCACGCCTGCAGGATGTTTGGTTGTTATTTCAGGCCCTTTGTCAAGATGGTAAATCTGGAGAAAGTTCAGACTGGAGTAAATGCCTCCAAGTCAGTGAATTCTTCCTTATCTTATCTGCCTTGCTGGCTCTCTTGATGAAGAACTTCCTAAAATAACTCCAGAGCCACTTGCCCCGGCTCTTTCTGGGGCAGGATAGCTGCTTCCTGCATGACCCGTGGAACATAATCTGTTCCCAACAACTTGAAGCCCTCCTTTCCCAATTTTCTATCCAGTCCAACAGCATGCAGCTGGGTGGTGCTGGGATTTAACTCATTTGTGGTCCTTGAAGTCAGGAGAGGAGGTGCAAACAGATCCCAGGGGCACCTGTTGCCTTGTCAGTGGTGTCCACTGCAGCAGCATCTTCTCATGTGGTCGACTCTCCTCCATTGCAGATTTGGAGGGATCAGGGGATTTTGCAGATCCAGCATCCAGGGACATCCATCTGCATTTTCTCCACCCTTGT